CAGTGCCGGGTCCAGCCTGGGGGTCACGGCGGGTCTGGGGCTCAGTGGGACCCCCAAACTGAGGGGACCCCCCCAGCACGGCTCTGCTCCTTCCAGTGCCGGCTCTGGAGGTTCAGTCGCTGGCACAGGGTCAGCAGCCCCCGGTATTCCCGGTATTCCCGGTGTTCCCACTGTCCCCATGTCCCCAGTGTTCCAGTATTCCCGGTGTCCCCGGTGTCCTGGTGTTCCCACTGTCCCCATGTCCCCGGTGTCCCTAATGTCCCCGGTGTCCCAGTGTTCCCGGTGTTCCCACTGTCCCCATGTCCCCAGTGTTCCGGTATTCCCGGTGCTCCCGGTATTCCCAGTGTTCCCGGTGTTCTCGGTGTCCCCGGTGTCCCAGTGTTCCCGGTGTTCCCACTGTCCCCATGTCCCCGGTGTCCCCAATGTCCCCGGTGTTCCCGGTGCTCCCGGTGTTCCCGGTGTTCCCGTACCTGCTCCTGCCAGGACTGCAGGCACGGGGAGGGGCACGGGCGGTGCTGGGGCCGGGGGGCTGCGGGGGCACCGTGGGGAGGGGTCCCGGGGATGCTGAAGGGTTCACAGGGCTGGGGGATGCAGGATCCGTGTCCCACAGGGTGCTGTGGGGTGCTGTGGGATCATGTAGGGTGCTGTGGGGTGATGCAGGATCTTGTAGGGTGCTGTGGGATGCTGTGGGGTGCTGCAGGGTGCTATGGGGTGCTGTGGGGTGCTGTAGGATGCTATGGGGTGCTGTGGGATGCTATGGGGTGCTGCAGGGTGCTATGGGGTGCTGCGGGGTGCTGTGGGATGCTGTGGGGTGCTGCAGGATGCTGTGGGGTGCTGCGGGGTGCTATGGGGTGCTATGGGGTGCCACAGGGAGCACAGCCCCACGGGATGCAGGATTCCGTGGGATCCGCTGCTCTGTGGGACGTGGGATGCTGGGGAGCCCACGGGGCTCTGGGGTGGGGGAGGCCACGGGATGCAGGAGGCCGTGGGGTGCTGTGGAATTCCGTGGGATGCTGTAGGATACTGTGGGATGCTGTAGGATACTGTGGGATGCTGTGGAATTCCGTGGGGTGCTGTGGGGTGATGCAGGAGGCCGTGGGATGCTGTGGAATTCCGTGGAGTGCTGTAGGATGCTGTGGGATGCTGTGGAATTCGTGGGGTGCTGTGGGATGCTGTGGAATTCCGTGGGGTGCTGTGGGATGCTGTGGAATTCCGTGGGATGCTGTAGGATACTGTGGGATGCTGTAGGATACTGTGGGATGCTGTGGAATTCCGTGGGGTGCTGTAGGATGCTGTGGGATGCTGTGGGATTCTGTGGAATTCCGTGGGGTGCTGTGGGGTGATGCAGGAGGCCGTGGGATGCTGTGGAATTCCGTGGGGTGCTGTAGGATACTGTGGGATGCTGTGGAATTCCGTGGGGTGCCGTGGGATGCTGTGGAATTCCGTGGGGTGCTGTAGGATGCTGTGGGATGCTGTGGAATTCCGTGGGGTGCTGTGGGATGCTGCAGGCTCCACAGCCCCACAGGATGTGGGGTGCTGTGCCCTGTAGGATGCCCCCGTGGGGTGCAGAAAGCCACGGGCTGTGGGGTGCTGGGGGGGGGTCCCTGTCCCCTGGGGGGGGTCCCTGTCCCCCGGGGTGACACAGGGGGGACACCGTGGGCTGCAGGACCCTCCGTGGCCCCGTGTGTCCCATGTCCCCCGTGGGTGCCGTGTCCCCAGTGTGTCCCGTGTCCCCCGTGTGTCCCCTGTCCCCCGTGGGTGCTGTGTCCCCCGTGTCCCCCGTGTGTCC